AGCGGCGCCGCCCTCTTTTTATCCCCCCTGCTTTCCCCGGCGCGGGGGCTCACAGAGGAAGGCGCAGAAGCGGCCGCCGCCGCCATGGCCTTGGAAGCGCTCCGCGTTAGGCCGGGAATCCCGTTGCCACGGAAACCCCACGTCGGGCAATGGGTGCACCGCGAAAAGGCGTCCCCCTGCTAAGGACGCGGGCCCATAAACTTCCCAAGGCTAGACTGACGCGCGCCGGGAGATGCCGGCAGCTTCCGAGACCGACTTTCATCTTCGCCAGCAGCCATTGAGACAATGGATGCTAGGAGTTTGGCTGAGCCGCTGCTGGCACACCCATGACTCTAGAGGGATTATTACTGTGATCATGTGGCCGTGTGGTCTGCGGTATCCCAGTATTTATTAGGGGGAGCTAGTCATTCATAGACATGGGGGACACTTCAGCACCCATGATCCATAGCTAGCAAGGGGTGGCACCTTAAAAAAAGCATGCAATAGATCAACTGCATTCCCCAACCCTCTTTCTGGATTTGCAGAGTCTCATGGGACCCACAAAACCAGCCATACAAAAACCTTAACCCAAGTGAATACAAACCTAGCCGCCTCAGCGAACCCAGCCGCTCAATTCCTCAATGTTGGAAAAAGAACACAGAAGGGAACTTCTGACCATGGGCAGAGTGCCTTCTCCCTCCTTCTTGGGGAAGGGCATGTATAGCCCAGACTTCCCCAGCTGAGGCCTTTCCAGATGTATGTGGGAACAACTCAACTCCCATTGCTTTCTCACCCTGGTAGCAAATACCAACCCTGGTTGGGAATGATGTGAGTTGTAGTCCCAGCCCAGCCAGAGGGGACCTGGTTGGGATGGCTGCTTTAACAAAAGTGCTTCTTCAATGCTTCATTGGTAATCAACTCTTCCCAACACAATGAGCCCTTATTTATTTTTCAGATTCAACAGCTCACATTCACATGTTCATATAAATACACCCAAGGCCACAAAATCATAGATTGCTCCTTCACCCACAGGATGGGACCCCCTGGGAGCCAAGGCTTGCTAATAAGCCATCCATGACAATGGGCTGAGTTCACACTTAGCCATAAACCTCTGCTTCATAAACCATGAAGCCATCAAACCAGGGTTTATAAACCACAATTTGCTGGGTTCCCACAACAACCTAAGCCAGAATCAAACCAACTGGTATTACCACTTAGGGAGCTGGGTGAACCCAGCAACCCTGTGGGTTAACAAATAGCTCTATTTCTCCTCCCTGAATTTCTGACCTTGAAGAATTTTCTTTCCAACTCGAGGTTGAAACGAGTTCCCCACGCCGATATTTATTACTTCCGAATGTTATCCAGTGTGTGCAAATTACATCAACGACGGTCAGATGAAACGCCCGTCCTCCAATCCCACCCCCAAGATTCAGAGATGGTGAGAAGATCACCAGAATTGGTCCCAGAGAAAAGGAACACACCCCAACAGGGATTGCAGGCCGTTTTCCAACCGGTCTGTGGCCGGAAAGAGATCCAGTCCAACTCCCATGTTGCCCCATTGAGATTTCGGGGCCAATTAGGAGGCAGAGTGGTTTGTCCCAAGATCTTGGCACAATCAGGCAAGGAGACCAGGAAGGGTGGGATCCTGGAACGGAGCTCCATCACTCGATGAGTTTCTTGGCCTTGAAAAACCGTCTTAGATAGAACACTTGCCAGGCCGCTAAGCTGACCAGACAGAGCATGGAGAAGATGCTGAAGTAGAAAACGCGAGCACTGGTGGATTCTGCAAAGAGAAAGAGGACGAAGGATCAACCTCGTGGCAGCGGCAGAGTTGCCAAGACCTGGGAGTTGAAGTCCACACATCTTAAAATCCCCACGGTTGAGAAACACCGATTAAGCCCCTGTTCGAAGGAGAACTGGCCCCTGATGTCTAGCCTGAATCTCCTTGCTTGTTAACCCCAAGTTTGCAATCCAAGTTTTGGTTTGGTTGGGAGCTCAGAAGAATTGGAGAAGGTGGAACCAAAGGGCATGTGATGGGGAAAGTGGTGCATATAGCGTTTTTTCTTGGGGCTAGCAGGGGTAAAATCCCCAGTGAGAAAGCCGGGCGCTCACCATTGGTGTCACGCATCTCCTCTTCCCGTTGTTTCATGAAGGCAAAATCTTTGACGATGGATTCTGAAAGGTCCTCCAGCCGACGGAGGTCTATTTCCAACGGTTTCAGCTTTTCAGCCTTTGCAACCTGGCAGAAAGGGTGGGAGAAGAGGGCCGAGTGGCATCACGTCTGCAATGACACCATCACGCTTTGTGATGTCATCCTGGCTTCCCCCAGATGCCCACAGAGAGAAGTTAAGCTAAACAGCGCCACCATTAATGGCTGTCGTCATACAACACACCTAACCAAGTTACCAGTCCCGAAAGAACCCTTCCGGAACACGGCGAACCATTTTTGTTTTCACGGACACGACAAATCCAGGCTGCTGGGTTATTTTATGGTGGGCTGCACTGGGCAAACCCAGAAAGTGAGTTAATTGAGTAACCCTGTTAAACGCGTTGTTTGAACGCAGCCAGAGAGAGCACAGCACCTCTAAACTTATTCAGAGCTGCACCCAGCAAAAATTTGACTTACACTTTCGTAATTCATTGCTTCGACCCCATGTTTAACATTGAGGGTGACCAGTTGGTCGGGGAGCCGGAAATTCCCTGGAAAAGATCAGAACAGAGGGAGAGAAATCAAGTCAGTTACAGGCGAGGTTGGTCCCTCACCCTAAGCCATGGTTTGTTTGAAATGGCTGGGTTCACACGACTTACTAACTTGCAAATCGTGGTTTATCAATTATAATATTGGGCTTTACTAAACGCAGCAAACCCAGGCTAAGGAACCCTACTGCAGCTTAGCATGATAAGTGAGGTTAGGTAAAAAAAATAAATAAAATAAAATAAAATAAAATAAAATAAATAAAATAAAATGATGATGATGATGATGATGATGTAATAATAATGAGGTTCAGTTTCTCTGAAACTTCTTAGTCCTGAAGCAAAATATGGAAATTTAAAAAAAAAGTCTAATCACGTACAGAGTGCCTTTTGTCAACACAAGCAAAGATATTTTTAAAGATCAAGGTTAATTTACTGACCGGGCTGGCAAAACTCACCGAACCATGTCAGTTAAGCGCTTACGTTTTGCCTTGGCACAACGTGTTAATTTGACTTAATTAATTAATTAAATTGAATGTGTTAATTTGACTTAATTAATTAAACAGAATCTCAGCTTTGGGGTGATTCAATGCATTTGTTTTAACTGACAATTCAATGTATCCTGTGATCTCAGGCAGTTTTGAAAAACTCAACGAAGCCCCCATAAAGGTTCGTTCGTGGGCGTAAAAAGCAACGCGAAGTCCCCGAACCTCTCTCTCATTCCCTCTCTTCCCAAAGGAAGACCCATCTGCCCAACTGCAGGAAGGTGCTGGAAGGGGACGATGGGACGTGTGGTCCTGCGGCCGAGGGACCGCGCTCTACCTGGCTGTCCGTGACTCTGAAAGCAGACCTCGTAGATTTCGTAATCTTCCGTGGTGAAGGCGAATTTCCCCTTCTTGGCCTCCTCTCTGGAGTACAGCAGGTGTCCGGCAGAGTCCGTCACCTGCGGGCGGGAAAAGGGCACCTCCTGGAGAACCCTGAGATGCCCTGAGCATGCCCAGAGTGCAAAACCAGCCCAGCCCCGGCGGCCGGAGTCCAGAGGGGGCCAGCCTTTCCGGAGAGGGCTGGAGACCCCTCCCCACGTTTAACGCTTCCCCTGGAAAGGGGCTGGGGGGAGGACCCCCACCTTCAAATCCGTCCGGATGCCCGGCGCGGCC